TTCTGGCCTTCTGAGAGCCTACTGTCGCGCACGAGGAATCCGTCAGACCTTCACGCTTCCGGACTCCCCGCAGCAAAATGGGATTGCTGAGCGCCGCATTGGCATGGTCATGGACGTCGCTCGTATGTCTATGATGCATGCGGCTGCTCCCCATTTTCTGTGGCCGTTTGCGGTGAGGTACGCGGCGCATCAGATCAACCTACACCCCAGGGTCTCCAGGCTGGAGACCTCCCAAGCCTTGCTGTGGACGGGGAAGGTTGGCGATGCGTCGGCGTTCCGGGTCTGGGGATCTCGGGCGTTTTTCCGCGACTTGTCTGCGGACAAGCTGTCCCCTCGTGCTGCTCCTTGCGTCTTCCTGGGGTTCCCCCCTGACGCGCCTGGGTGGCAGTTCTACCACCCCACCTCTCGTCGTGTTCAGTCCTCCCAGGACGTCACGTTTGACGAGTCGGTCCCCTACTACCGCCTCTTCCCCTACCACACTCCGTCCCTCCCCCCGCCACCGCTCTTCCTTGTACCAGGTCCCCCTCCGGTAGACCCCCTCCCCCCTCAGGGTCTGTCCCCTTCAGGTGTGTCCCAGGTAGACGCAGTCGAGCCTGTCGAGGTCACTGGTGACTCTGGTGCTGCTGAGGGTGCTGAGCCTGGGGGTGCTGAGCCTGGGGGTACTGAGCCTGGGGGTGCTGAGCCTGGGGGTGCTACGCCTGGGGGTGCTGAGCCTGGGGGTGCTGAGCCTGGGGGTGCTGAGCCTAGGGGTGCTGAGACTGGGGGTGCTTAGCCTGGGGGTGCTGCGCCTGGGGGTACTGAGCCTGGGGGTGCTGGGCCTGGGTGTGCGGAGCCTGTGGGTGCTGAGCTTGGAGGTGCTCCGCCTGGAGGTTCTCCGGGTGCTTCGTCTCTGCGGGAGCCACTCTCACCACGGGAGCTGCGCGAGTGGTTTGCCCGGCGCTGGAGGCGTGCTGCTGGTGCTGGAGGTTCTTCGGCTACTGAGGGTGCTGCTGTCGCCGGTCCGGGAGGTGCTCCTACTGGGAGTACTGGAGCTGCTGGGCCTGCGGGTTCGACTGGAGCTGGTGCTGCTGAGGGTGTTGGCGCTAAGACTACCGCTGGCGGTCCTGCTGGGGGTACTCCTGGTGCTGCAGGAGGTTCAGGAGCTTCTGGAGGTACTGCTGGAGCGGGTGCTCCTGCTGGGGGTACTGGTGTTGTCCCTACTGTGTCTGGCGTCGCCACGCGGCCTCGAACGTACTTCGTTCCACTCCTGCAGCAGGTTCTTGGTCTTCCACCTTCTACTGGTCCTCCTCCTCCCTTAGAGTGTCCACAGCCTGTCCCGTCACAGTTAGAGTTGCACCCTACCTTCCCTTTGACTGCTCCTTCTCCCTACACTCGTCCTACTGGAGGTCTTGCTGAGCGTCGTGAGCCTGCGTCTCGCCCTACGTCGCCTGTTCGTGCTGCTCGCGCTAGTGGTCGTGGTTCGCGTCAGCGTCCTCCTCCTGTCCCTGGCACGCACCGGATGTCTCTGCGTCCGTCCACTGCTCCTGTGCGTGCCCCTTTGCCTTCTCCTCCTGAGTCCTCTTTTCCTGCTCTTGCCGACCCGGAGTCGGACTCTCTTCGTGCTGCCAGTCCTACTGTCACGCGTCTCCTGGCTACTGTCGTCACTGACCCTTCTTTCGAGTCCACCGCTGCGTCTGCCCTAGTTGCTGAGCTCGTCGACTTTGCTGCTCGCTGTCGCCTAGACTACGCTGCTAGTCTTGTCGCTGAGTCTGAGTCTGTCTGTCCTCCGTCCGTCGGGGGTGCGTGTGCCCTTGGCACGGACGTCCTTGAGGACAGGCAGGAGGAGTTCCAGTGCTTGGCCGCTGCTTCACCTCATCTCGTGTCCGTACTGCTTACCCCTGAGGGAGACCCGGATGCACTTGACATCCCGACTCCGCGCTCTTACGCGGAGGCGATAGAGGGTCCCTACTCCTCTCAGTGGCAGGCAGCTATGGATGCAGAGATGGCTTCCTGGAAGTCCACAGGCACCTACGTTGACGCTGTCCCCCCTCCTGGGGCGAACATCGTCAGTGGCATGTGGATCTTCAGGGTGAAGCGGCCGCCGGGTTCTCCGCCTATCTTCAAGGCGCGTTACGTGGCTCGTGGCTTCAGTCAGCGGCAGGGAGTTGACTACTTTCAGACCTTCTCCCCCACCCCGAAGATGACCACTCTTCGGGTACTGCTGCACGTTGTTGCTCACCGGGACTACGAGCTGCACTCTCTCGACTTCAGCACCGCTTTCTTGCAGGGCAGCCTGCACGAGGAGATCTGGTTGCGCCGCCCACCTGGCTTCACTGGGTCTTTCCCTCCTGGCACCCAGTGGAGCCTCCGACGGCCAGTCTACGGTCTCCGCCAGGCACCGCGTGAGTGGCACGACACACTGAGGACTACGCTTGCGGCTCTTGGGTTCGCTCCTTCTACTGCCGACCCGTCGTTGTTTCTGCGCACCGACACCTCTCTGCCGCCGTTCTACATCCTCGTGTACGTCGACGACTTGGTCTTTGCCACAGCTGACACTACTGGACTCGCCTACGTGAAGTCCGAGCTGCAGAAGAGACACACGTGCACTGACCTGGGTGAACTGCGCAGCTACCTTGGCTTGCAGATCACCCGGGACAGAGCACGCCGCACCATTACCCTAACTCAGTCACACATGGTGCAGCAGGTCCTTCAGCGCTTCGGCTTCACGTACTCCTCGCTTCAGGCCACTCCTCTGCCGACTCGCCACTCGCTCTCAGCTCTGCCTTCGGATGAGTCCGTAGAGTCGAGTGGCCCGTACCCAGAGCTTGTTGGCTGCCTCATGTACCTGATGACCTGCACACGACCTGACCTTGCATACCCTCTTAGCATTCCCGCGCGCTATGTTGCTCCTGGGAGACACTGAGCAGAGCACATGGCTGCAGCGAAGAAGGTGTTGCGCTACTTGTGCAGTACGTCGGGCATGGGGCTAGTGCTTGGAGGGCGCAGTCCAGTGGTCCTCACTGGGCACGCAGACGCTTCTTGGACTGACGACCAGGCTACGCAGCGGTCGTCACAGGGTTACACCTTCAACCTTGGTTCCGGCTCTGTTTCGTGGCGGGCTACTCGCTCGTCTTCTGTTCTCGGCTCCAGTTGTGAGGCTGAGATCTACGCTGGGGCCATGGCTGCACAGGAGCTTCGCTGGCTCACCTACCTGCTGACTGACCTCGGAAAGCCGCCTCGTTCTCCTCCAGTGCTGTACGTAGACAACAAGGCCATGCTGGCCTTGTGTCGAGAGCAGCGACTGGAGCACAGAACGAAGCACATTGCTCTCCGCTACTTCCTTGCTTGTGAGCTACAGCAGCGTGGACAGTTGCGGCCGGGCTTGCGTACGTGGCCTCTGAGGCCAACACTGCTGATGTTTTCACCAAGGCACTTCAGTCTTGTGATCATCAGCGCTTCTGCACTCAGTTGGGTGTTGTCCCTGTCTTGCCTCACTTGCTCACCTCTTGACCTTGCTTGTACTGTTACATATATATATATACCTGCTCTTGCTTGTCTAGCCTTATATGTATATATATATATACTCCTGCATGTGAACTGGCCTTGTGGCCTTGTACTTGTGCTCGGAATGTGTGGTGACTTTGTGATCCACCCTGAACTTTGCTTTGTCTTGCTTTGCTTGACTGGTCTTGTGACCCCCTGTTCTCCCCCACTTTGCCTATGGGGTGTGTCAGAACTTTATAGCTTATGCTTTTTGTGTAGGCTGTAGTGGGGTATCCCATAGGGGGTACAACCCAATTAGGATTAGTACTTGTACCCACTTCATTCATTCTCGTTTCAATTTTCTCAAGGAGCGCACAGTGATATTCAAGTATTACTATTCGTAACAATCTGCAGTCTCAGGCGAACTGTATTAGGCTGACTGAGAAATCATATGAATAGAAAAAACGTCTCTAAAAAAAATAGACGAAATTAAACAGCATGTCTACGGCATCAGATGAACCAGTAAAAATGTGTTCAGAATCAAGAAATTCAGACCAAATTTTTTTGATGAAGTAAGCCCTGACCACGAGTCGTTTTGAGAACCTTCGGCCATCCGTACGCGAGTTACATGGCTTCGACGTGAAGCCGTTTTATCTGTTTTACTTTACTGTCAAAAGGAAGAATAGGGCTAGAACGTAAATGTCGGACATTCAACAACAGGATCGTGATCTCATGGCAGCTCGAACGCGAGACGACTTGAGGAGTGCTTATCTCCAGAACACCCCCCATGATGATCCTACTAATATAGCAAGAGCGAGTCGATTCTGCATTATTGTCAGCACACAAACAAGATAAGCACGGTTTTCCTGTATCGACCCTGAGGCAGTAACAGCAGTGACATGCTAACATTACGCATAGTACCAGGAAAGCTGGAAAGGCCTGACACTAAGCTCCGCCAAAAAGTTCATAGTCGCGACCAAGAGCCTGAGTCATGCAGCTATCATTTGCAACAATGCCATTCAGACCTGACAAGACCTCTCTGCTCGAAAAAGTTGACATAATGTTTATGTTATTTAAAAAATACTCCTCAGAAACATAATACAGAAGCCGAATATAGGTCATACAACGTTATCACTCTGTAAGCACAGTTGAAGAAAACTAGTCAGTGCATTATTCCTAAAAGCATGTGCGGCATGAAAATCTTTGTACCAAGCCACAAACCAGAAACTAACTTCGGACTAAGCTTCTGAGGCCTCGCCCTTGTCAGCCGATGATTTCTTCGGAAGTAGGACGGACTGAATGTTTGGTAAAACACCACCAGCAGCAATGGTAACCGCTCCCAAAAGCTTGCTGAGCTCCTCGTCGTTTCTCACGGCCAGCTGAATGTGTCTCGGAACGATGCGAGTCTTCTTGTTGTCTCTGGCTGCGTTCCCGGCAAGCTCCAAAACCTGAAAGAAAGTGGGCCAAAAGGTTAAGTACTATAATCTCTCAAGCGCCATGAGGGAAGACGCAAAATTAACTGGTGACGGCATACGCACCTCAGCAGCTAGGTATTCGAGGACTGCAGCAAGGTACACTGGAGCACCGGCACCAACCCGAGTGGCATACTTTCCAGCCTTGAGGAAACGGGCTATACGACCCACAGGAAACTGAAGACCTGCCTTTGCTGACCTGCTCACTGCCTTCTTTCCAGCAGCCTTTCCTCGGCCTGACATGGTTCTAGGAGATGAAAGTCGTGAAGCGAAAAGTATCGGCAGAAAGCTACTAGCTCAAGAGAGATAGGTACACAGTGTCTTGGAAAGCCGAATATGGACTGTGCTGTGACAGAAACTTATGAGCAACAGCATTGGAGGAGCGAACTTTATGAACAACGCTATGGGGCGAGGAGGAGAGGATGACCCAAACACACAAAGCTATCAACCAATCGCGTCAATATTTACGGATTGACAAACGCTCCGTCGGATTACGATTGCTTCGAAACAATCGACGCTAGCACGAGATCCACGCTGCTGCCACTGGTCGGAAACCATTTTGCGAAAATATGATTTCGAACATGCAAATCAACCGTTACGATACAGCTTATCAAACTACAATCTTCAGCAGCCTAAACAAAGTTGTATTGTCATAGTCAAACCTTTGTATTGAAGATTACATTTACAGGCCTGCTTTCTGATAGCTTTATTTGTCACAGAAACTGGCTGGACACTGCTCAATTTGGACGTGTGAAAGCCTATGCACTGTACATCAGTATGCTGGTGCGCCACTCGTTTTGTCCAAGCAACAATTAGCATCACTGACCATGCATGGTAAAGCTTGATTCATAGCTCTCGCCTTGTTTTCCAATCCACCTTGAGGTTATTTAGATCGTTGAAAGAGCTTGGGGCCTGGGGATACCTACAAGACATTCCCTCTCCTCATGGCATCACAGCCTGATATTCACTGACTCCTTTACTGTACAATCATGCATTCAACGTATTACAGCATTTGGAAGGTCAAAGAGCACCAAATACCGGTAAGTGTCAACTGTTGGAAATCCGAATACAGTATAACGAATACTGTATACCAGTGTGCTGTTTGGTTTTAGTGTAGTCCTCTTTATAAGCTTCCAGGTCCTACAATTATTGTAGGGGCCAGAATTATTGGAGGTCAGCATTATTGGAGGGTAGAGGGTACAATTATTGGTACACCATTATTGGTGTGAATGGGTCATTCTGGAGGGGTAGCTGAATGCATATATACCCTGCTGTGTCACATCATTGAGTACTCATTGTGTCATCCTTTTACTTTTCAATGATCAATGCAAGATTTCTATCTTGTTCTTTTCTACAAACACGTTTCCGCTACGCTGGCACTATGCCTTTCTAGCATGGTATCAGAGCTACTCTAGGGGGCATGCTGCCAAAACTGGTTCAGGAATTTACTGGCATACAGTTTGGATAGGTACCTGCATACAGTCGGAGTACCGCACACCCGGTCTACGCTTTCGTACACCTGGTGTTCGCTGTTGGTTACAGCTGCGCGTTTACCGCACACTTGGTGGACGGTTTTGTCAAGTTCATGGCGCACTTCGATGGCGAAGTGGATCCTGGATATGCGGCTTTTGAAGAAGTCATCATGGCTCAGCATGAGCACCTGGAAAGCATGATTGCAAGGGCACCACCAACTCTCCAAGCTTCGTTAAGGGACAAGTTTGGAATGACAATCCAGCCAAGAGCAAAACTCTCTCATGAGTTCAGCAATCCGTCCACCCATGAACAATCTCATTCAAGCACTCCACGTACTAACCAAACGCGTGCAAATGTTCATGCAGGAATTGATGGTGAAGGGGAAATGGGCATACCTCAAGGAGGAGAGTCATCCCAATGGAGGGATGCATCCGTCCAAGGAGAGGAGATCGCCAATTCCGCACCTCAATCATCCATGCAAAGGGAAGCACGGAGGAGGAATGATGAGTATCGGAGTGCAGTGTTTGGTGGGATGAGAAGTGGACAGATTGGGCATCAGGGTGACAGAAGTGGTGAAGTGGGCGTGGAAGGTGTGGGATTCGCCTCCTACACTATTGGTGCTCCCCCACTACGACGACTTGCGACCAACTCCCATCCCATTGGAGTTCTTCCCATGCCCAGGTCTCACCTTCATGGCGACAACATCATCCCTCCACGTGCACATCGTCCACCAATCAGCGCACACTCTGTGGACAGCATGGGGCGGATGGGATACGGAATGCAGTCAAATGGTGTCATGCGACGGGATAAAGTGGAAGTGCTGGAACGTCAACTTGGTGGACAGAATGGAGATATGCGGCGCACGGTACAGCTACCTCGACCGTCAACCATGCCTACTCTCTTCGACCCCGCACCACGTGAATATACGGACGAAGACAAGGAACGACTGTCACGCAAAATGGTGGGAGCAACGGTGGACAAGGCATTCACCACCACTCCGTTTGACGGCTCAAATTTCCGCGAATGGGCACTACGGTTTCGTATGAACGCCCGCGTCACGAATCTGTGGGAGTTCTTTGTGACCCTGCAGTATCCGATTACCATGGGAGATGGTGACATTGACGACGCTATGGGGCGGCTGGAAATGCTACAGGCGGATTACTCCCAGCGTGCGGCACTCGCCTTTTGGGTCCTATTGCACAGCGTGAGCGCCACGATTCAACTACAACTAGACATGTTCCAGGAATCCTACAGCCCGGCTTATGAAGCATGGGAGTATTTGATGGACACTTACCAGGCCAAAGATTCGGTGGCGAAGGTCTCTCTCTTGAAGCAGTTGGACAACCTGAAAATGGGGAACACCGAAAGGGTGGAGGAGTACGTCAACCGCGCAACAGCAATCCGGGACAAGTTAGCACTCGCGGGGAAGATGGTGGATGAAGATACCTTCACCTTAAATCTGCTCACCGGACTACCAGTGCATTGGGAGGAGATGAGGCACTCGGCAATGCTACACAACGTAACGGACAGCTTCACTTTGCAGCGGATGATGATTCGGGAGCAGAGATATCACGATCTCATCACAAAGGATAACCGTGACCGGCGTCCACCTCGCATGGTTGGACAAGCACGTGGAGACTGCTCACCTTCTCCAACTGCAAAGGGCAATAACGGGAAGGAGGGGTCAATTGGGGAGAAAACGCATGGCAAGGATGGAGATGCAAGTCGCTCATCTCTCGTGTGTTGGTACTGCAAGGAGCCTGGCCACCCCTTCTTCAAGTGTACCAAGGCACCCCCTGGGTGGATACCACCAGGGTGGGAACCGCATACCCGCGGAAAGGCAAAACTGCACACCAGCGACAGCCGTTCGTCCTCCCCACGAAGGAGTTGCAGCCCCAAACGTGACAACAATGCATCAAAACAGCAAGGGGCAGCCGGGGAAGACAAACAACGTACTGTTACGTGCATTGCAATGATGGGATCGTCACAAGCTACCTTACCGCCAGCTAAAGCGTCATCTTGGATGCTGGATAGTGGATGCAGCCAGCACATGACTTCGGACAAGAGCTGGTTTGAAGAGTTAAGGGAGCTGGACGAACCTGTTTATGTGGAGCTTGCTAATGGGAGCGAGCTGAGCAGCAAGATGACAGGAACGATCAGAGCAACGGCACCTGATGGGACAACAGTTCGGTACACTGACGTCCTCTACGTACCTGGCTTGAAGAGTAACCTGCTCTCCTATTGTCAGCTGCTGAAAAAGGGAGCGCACATCAATACAATTGCTAATGGAGACACGGAGGTCACCATGAAAGATGGAGAGGAGTACGTGCGGATTGGATTTGCTAAGAACGTGGATGGAGTGCTCGTGGTGCAATATGCGCATGCACTTACATCCGCCCATGATCCTGGACATTCCCGTTATGACGCGTCATCGCATCAGGTTGATCGTGAGGGGGTTACCCTTTTCCGCACACCTGGTGTGCACATTGACGCACATGAGAGCACGGATTTCCGCACACCTGGGATGCAGTCGAGTGGCAAGTCTGCACATGCCTCTGTCACATACCGCCTGGCGCACAAAGCCTGCATCGTGCGGAATCCGGCACATGATGTTGATACGGATGAAGTCTCACCCCACTGTGTGGTGTGGACTTCAGGGGGAGGAGGCCACAGGTCCGTAGTGGATTCGGTTCCTGCATTCTCGACCATTGAAGGACATGAAGGCGAAGGAGCAGAATATGCAAAACAAGACTTACCTGGAGCTGATGTAGCTGATGAAGTCAGTGCAGTTGAAGGAAGCGGAGGTACAGCTGATGGCGTATCTGTGACTGGTGTTTCCATTTCGGAAGGCGTGGAAAATGATGATGTGGGAAATGAGGTGGACAAGCCAAGCAAGCAGCATCTCACCTGCAATTTGCTGGTTGGTCAAGGCAATCATCAAGTCAAGGATTCTGGTGTTGTACTCACCTGTGCGGCCACCTCGAACGGTGCGGCACAACATGGCATCACCTAACTCCACACTCACTCATGTGCTTGTAGCTGTGTACGCGGATCACTACAAGCACATGGGTGGCGGGAGGTGGGGTGTGGAGTATGTCTGGTGGCATAAGTGTGGGACAGGGAGTCAAGAAGCATAAGGGGAAGACCTACTCACCAAGGGTTGCCAAATAGGCAGGGGGAGTAGGAAGAATGAATGCAACCGGTCGTCATACGTCGTGCTTCAGTGGTATTGTGGTATTGGTTGCAGCAGATGAACGGTACCACCTGAGGGAAGAGTGGATAATATACATGGGAGCACTGCGTACCTGGTGTGCACAACTCTGCATACTTGGAGTGCGCTACATTCTTGGAGTGCACAACACTGCATACTTGGAGTGGACATTTCTGCATACGTGGAGTGCAGAGTTTGGGATACTTGGAGTGCGTCGGCATGCACAACTCTTTAGCTGATGGAGTTCGGCAACTCCGACTGCTACCGTGTGCCGGCTGGAGTGTATGGGGAGCATCACATGACAACATAGGTGAAGTTTGAGCAAACTTGGCATGATTGCCAAAGCATGGGGAGAAACTGTCGCGCGAAGTGTGCGCCCACCAATGCAGTTCCGCGCCAGCCGCACACCCTGTGTTATCTGCTACCGATTCGCGTCATCCGCAACTGCAGTGGTCGCAGACGCGCATCCACTGCGGTTTTGCGTCGTCGCACAGGAGGCGTGCGAAAAAGACAGCAGCACTGACAACCGCGTGTAGTCAAGTCTACGGTTTCGGAAATTCGGTGTGCGCTAAGGGCAATCCGCCATGACGATCTACGCATTTCGCCATGGTTACGAGGAGATTTCGTCATGGAGCTGCTACTATTTCCTCAGTAGCAGCCACTACGCGCTGTATCTAGATCTGGAAAGTCGCCAGTGGAAGGAGGGATTGGAAAACATCAAGGGAGGAGGTTTGGTTGGAGTTTGAAAGCACCAAAGGCTTGGGGGGAGAAAGGTGCTACAGTGACGAGCAGCTTGGCCACCACCAAACCCTAGCTTGGTTTGGGCGCACCCCTACCTAGTGGTGGTATACCACCTCGACCACCCCATCCTCCAAGGAAATCGGATTCACTAAAACCTACAGCAAGGGGGAGTGTTGGAAATCCGAATACAGTATAACGAATACTGTATACCAGTGTGCTGTTTGGTTTTAGTGTAGTCCTCTTTATAAGCTTCCAGGTCCTACAATTATTGTAGGGGCCAGAATTATTGAAGGTCAGCATTATTGGAGGGTAGAGGGTACAATTATTGGTACACCATTATTGGTGTGAATGGGTCATTCTGGAGGGGTAGCTGAATGCATATATACCCTGCTGTGTCACATCATTGAGTACTCATTGTGTCATCCTTTTACTTTTCAATGATCAATGCAAGATTTCTATCTTGTTCTCTTCTACAAACACGTTTCCGCTACGCTGGCACTATGCCTTTCTAGCATCAACATGGTCCTTGTCTCGAGCCCCTACCGTACTCGAGCATGTACGCATTTGGAAAGAGAGGCCTGTGTTTCTACCAGGAACCACTGTACTTATCAGGCACTGCGTTCTGAAAATGGGCGTAGTTCCACTCTATGTTCAGCGCAAATGGCTTCGATATTGTCACTCCCTCTGCTGTTACTTTTGAAATCTGCATGGACAGAAGGCATTCAACAGAAGCGGTGCAACGTTAAAACCAAGCAAAAAAAATAAAGGAAGGACAAAAAGAGTACAGAGAATAATCACAAGGCTTCACACATACATACTAGGAATATACTGCGAACTGAAGCAAGTTCACCAACCTGGAATCTGTTGAGTGCGCTGCTGTCGCACGCATACAGCACTAGTAGCCCCTTCAACAGCAGCTTCACTGCCCCCCCCTCACTCACATCAATGCAATCACTTTAATTTGTTCTCAAATGCGATTCTGTCTACATTACAACATTTAACCATTCCACCAACCTGGAATTTGTTAAGCGCGCTGCTGTCGCGGGCGTACAGCACCCTCAGCCCCTTCTCCAGCAGCTTGACTGCCTCCTCCTCACTCATGTCGTTGCGGTGCTCGTTGCGGAAGAGCGGGCGCACCATGTGGCTGCCAAAGCCCGTTGCTATGTGGTCGTCCGTGAAGTGAACGCCAATCATTGTCACCTGGAAGAGGGAAATGCGTGCACGGGAGGGCAAGGGAGGTGGTGGAGGGGAGGATGGGGGAGGAGGGAATTGGGGAGAAGAACGAAGTTAGTGTGGAAAAGGCAAATGAAACTTCACTGCCTCTCCAGCCGCTTGACTGCCTCCTCCTCACTCATGTCGTTGCGATGCTCGTTGCGGAACAGCGGTCGCACCAGGTGGCTTCCAAACCCCGTTGCTATGTGGTCGTCCGTGAAGTGAACGCCAATCATTGTCACCTGGAAGAGGGAAATGCGTGCACGGGAGGGCGAGGGAGGTGGTGGAGGGGAGGATGGGGGAGGAGGGAATTGGGGAGAAGAACGAAGTTAGTGTGGATAAGGCAAATGAAAATTCACTGCCTCTCCAGCCGCTTGACTGCCTCCTCCTCACTCATGTCGTTGTGATGCTCGTTGCGGAACAGCGGTCGCACCAGGTGGCTGCCAAACCCCGTTGCTATGTGGTCGTCCGTGAAGTGCACTCCAATCATCGTCAACTGCACTGCACTACCGGGCATCATAAGGGTTGGGAGGTGCGGAGGCCAGGACTGGAGAGAAGAAAGGGGTAGGCGTGGAAAAGGCTGACAATTTCCCAGCATGTGAAGTGGGCGTGTAGTGCATTTTGATCACTATCACCTGGACCATGCATGAATGGGTTGGGTGGGGGGTGGTGGAAGGGAAGGGGGGATGGGGAGGGTGGGCTTGTACGGGGCTGGGGAGCAAAACGGAGAGGTGAGGCCAAGCTTTGAAATGTGGACACTGGACTGAGCAGCAAGGGTACAGGTACTGATACAGGAGCACTGCTAGACAGCACATTAAGCACGTGTATTCAATCCATCGCACCGATCTGACCGAACCGAGGAAGGACTCACCCTTGTCAGGCCCGCCAATGACAATGGATTCCAGAGCAGTTCAAAGCGGTTGCATCTCATTGAACAATGGATTCCAGAGCAGTTCAAAGCGGTTGCATCTCATCGAACAAAGGATTCCAGGCGCTGTGGAAGGAAGTCCATTGTTGAGGCACCACATAGCGAATCTCACCAAGCCGAGACAGGTCCGCCCTTGTCGAGCCCCCAGATGACAATGGAGTTCCAGAGCGGGTCGAAGCGGTTTCACTGCATTGTTGAGGTGCCTAACACACAGAATCTATTTCCAGGCACCAAGTACAGGGATTCAGATGCCCCACGAACGAATCTCACCGAGCCGAGACGGGTCCGCCCTTGTCGAGCCCCCAGATGACAATGGAGTTCCAGAGCGGGTCGAAGCGGTTTCACTGCATTGTTGAGGTGCCTAACACACAGATTCCATTTCCAGGAACCAAGTACAGGGATTCAGATGCCCCACGAACGAATCTCACCGAGCCGAGCAAGGGTTCGCCCTTGTCGAGCCCCCCGATGACGATGGAGATCCAGAGCGGGTCGAAGCGGTTTCACTGCATTGTTGAGGTGCCTAACACACAGATTCTATTTCCAGGAACCAAGTACAGGGATTCAGATGCCCCACGAACGAATCTCACCGAGCCGAGACGGGTCCGCCCTTGTCGAGCCCCCAGATGACAATGGAGTTCCAGAGCGGGTCGAAGCGGTTTCACTGCATTGTTGAGGTGCCTAACACACAGATTCCATTTCCAGGAACCAAGTACAGGGATTCAGATGCCCCACGAACGAATCTCACCGAGCCGAGGAAGGGTTCGCCCTTGTCGAGCCCCCCGATGACGATGGAGTTCCAAAGCGGGTCAAAGCGGTTGCGGCGGTTGTACATGACACGTGTCATGTAGTTGAACACCTCTCGTGTGGACAGCACGTGCCCGTCGTCAAATGCGTAGTCGTTCGTGCTGTGCAGTTGAAATGGAAGGGGGGGAAAAGAGGAAGGAACATGTATACAAGGTGGGTTGCGGCGGTTGTACATGACACGCGTCATGTAGTTGAAGACCTCTCGTGTGGACAGCACGTGCCCATCGTCAAATGCGTAGTCATTCGTGCTGTGCAGAGTGGCCAGGGGTTTAGATGGGCGAGGGGGGTATGGGAAAGGGGGTATGTCTAGATTCGGGTAGCGGGGAATGGGGAAAAGAAAACGTTTTTCCATGGATGGAGGGTGCAGCTGTTGGAAAGGAGGGAGGGCGAAGGAGAAGTGGGGGGGGAGACAAGACGGGGGTTGCAAATGGATCGACCGGAATATATATAATACATGTACGTATATACTGCAAAAAGGGATTACTTACAGGAGCTCCTCGTAGAGCGAGAGGATGAAGTGGAAGTCGCTGATCTCCCCGCCAGCGCCCATCACCGTGTGCGGCGCCACCTGCTGCATGCGCTCCACCGACTTGTACCGCATTGTACGCCCGTATGCTCCTGAAAGAGGTGGGGTCGAAGTGGTGTACATATGGAGGCAGACGCAGCGAGGGGAAACGGGAAGCAAGGAGCGGGATTTAGTGCGGGCAGAGGCGCCCCCTGCTGCATGTGCTGCACCGACTTGTGCGCATGGGGAGGCAGAAACAGCGAGGGGGAAACGGGAAGAATGAAGAAGGGTTTCGTGCAGATGCAGCAGCCACTTGCTGCATGCGCTGCACCGACTTGTGCGCATGGGGAGGCAGAAACAGCGAGGGGGAAACGGGAAGAATGAAGCAGGGTTTCGTGCAGATGCAGCCGCCACTTGCTGCATGCGCTGCACCGACTTGTGCGCATGGGGAGGCAGAAACAGCGAGGGGGAAACGGGAAGAATGAAGCAGGGTTTCGTGCAGATGCAGCCGCCACTTGCTGCATGCGCTGCACCGACTTGTGCGCATGGGGAGGCAGAAACAGCGACGGGGAAACGGGAAGAATGAAGCAGGGTTTCGTGCAGATGCAGCCGCCACTTGCTGCATGCGCTGCACCGACTTGTGCGCATGGGGAGGCAGAAACAGCGACGGGGAAACGGGAAGAATGAAGCAGGGTTTCGTGCAGATGCAGCCGCCACTTGCTGCATGCGCTGCACCGACTTGTGCGCATGGGGAGGCAGAAACAGCGACGGGGAAACGGGAAGAATGAAGCAGGGTTTCGTGCAGATGCAGCCGCCACTTGCTGCATGCGCTGCAGCAACTCGTGCCGCATCATGTGCCCGTATGCTATGCTCCTGCATGGGGTGGGGGTGAGTGATGCATGTAGGGAGGTAGACACGGAAAGGAGGGAGTGGTGCGTAAGGGGTTCAGTGAGGGGGAAAAGACACCTGCTGCTTCTTAGGCGCCTCAATAATTCTTGTGGCGCCTCAAGACCTCTGCTGAATTCGGTGAGGCCGGAAACATACCTGGTTACAACACACCCATGCTAATTTCGGCTGAGGCGTCTGCTGACTCACCCATGACATCTTCTGACTCACCCTTGGCGCCTGCTGACCCACCCATGACATCTGCTGACACCCATGGCAGCTGCTGACTCACCCATGGCATCTGCTGATAACCATGGTACAACACCCATGTCAATTCCAGCCATAACATCTGCTGACTCACCCATGGCTCTGCTGACTCAGACACGGAATCTGCTGACTCGAACGCGAAATCTGCTGACTCAAACACGGGATCTGCTGACTCAAACACGGGATCTGCTGACTCAAACACGGATCTGCACACTACTAAATGACATCTGATGACTCACCCATGTTGCAGCCGCCATGATGATGCTGTCCTTGTACTTCATCGCAAGCACCGAGGCTGATGCCCATGGTACAACACCCATGCAAATTCCGGCCATGACATCTGCTGACTCACCCATGGCATCTGATGACTCACCCATGGCACCGCTGACTCACCCATGGCAGCTGCTGACTCACCCATGGCATCTGCTGACTCACCCATGGTATCAGCTGCCATGATGATGCCGTCCTTGTACTTCATCGCCAGCACCGAAGCGCCGGTCACGTACGGGTACCTGCGCGCGGGGCGCGTGCGCGCACATGCATGGGACACGAGAAAGGTACAGGTAAGCGATGGGTTGCGAGAGATGAGATGAAGGGATGACTTGGAAGGAAGCAAAAGCGCGGTTGCGAGACGAGGCGGAGAGGTATTTCGGGATAATCCAGGATCATCTAACGTGAATTGTCAGTGAACAAATTGTGAATCTAGAAAAAAATCACGAATTTCGTAAGAGCTCGTGCCAACATAAGGTGACTCAGATGTTGTACGGAACGGTGACGATAAGAGAAATACGACGTGAATGAATGAAAATCTCACATACAAAAAACATCCGTCCCTGCGAAATATCCGTCCTCCCTGCAGAATCACTCACTGCGTGTGCTTGATCGGATCTAGTCCGGAATTTACGGGAACCATCGGGCCGCACACGACGCCAGCGCGCTCACTGCCAGAATCCACCTTCTCGTCCTCTCTAACCTTCCTGTGGCTGCACGTGGGACCGTGGAACATTTCTGGGAGCTGCGGCGGCCCGGGTGGGATGCCGAATCCGCGATAGTCGTGTCGAATCATGCTGCTTGGAGATATTAAAGCCGTCAGAGCAACAACAGCAGAGAACCGACGCTGAGATAGAGATTAGGGCCTGATTAAAATCGACGGTACGACTACTAATTGACTATGCGATCTGCGGAGTCTTCTCTTGGCTCGTGTGTGAGAAGGGATGTGACTGTTCAACGTGAAGGGCCGACCCTCGATATAAATTTGGAGGAGCATGACAGAAACTACATATTCGAATGCTTACATTCATTATCCACTGATACCGAAGGTTCTCTCCATATGTTTATGTGAGCTAAAGCGAAACCAATTAGGCGTTGATTAAGTCAAGAAACCAGAATTTCAATAATCATGCGTTAGCCTTCAATCCCTGCATGACTGTATGGAGATTGGTTTTACTCGTATGCTTGAGAAAGCGCACTCCATAGAACTGGTGTAATTCACAAAGAAATTCTTTTTGGTTCTTTTTGGGAGTTTCATTTTCCTTCTCCCTTTCTTTCTCCATTCCCTTTCTTTTTCAGACACACTATGGCGAGACACATGTTGTAATCTACGGTAGTTAGCACAGATCATGCATGGCTGCTTTCATTAGATGTGTGATTATCAAGCCCTTAGACTGTAATTAAAAAAAAAAAAAAAAACAAGAGGCGACAAGGTCGTCCTAGGGTTGCGAAGTTTGTTACGTAACTAACATTATACGGATCTAACAGCTAGTATGGATCTCCTTTCTAATGATTGCTCTACTTTTTATACCGAGTACATGTTTCTTGTTGATAGTAGCAAAACAAACCACGCGAGAATCGAAACCAGGACATCTTGAGAATATTCGATCTCCTACCGACTGCGCCATCACAGATGTCTCAATTCTGAAACAAAAAATATATATCAAATAACAACGCGACGAAATGCTTCCTTCCATTAGGGTTTGTGTTCTTTTTTTCTCTCGCTGGTCACGCTGAGCACCCCACGTACCAGAGGAAGGTGAGAAGCATAAGTGCCTAAGCTCCCCCCTAACTACTCCCCATGCTCAACTACAACGAAGTTAGATGAGTCTTAGATAGACAAGCGTAGTAATCTAATACCTAACTGTGTAAAAATATGACTTATTATCTAGACTATGATGTTTAAGCTTAGGGCCCTTTGTAAAGACTTCGTAACTTTCTTGTATTTTTTTGGTTTCGTTTCTTCGTGCATAATCTGCCATCCGTTTCCTCTATCCACCGTCCTTACTTTTCCTTTTCGTCGGTTGCGTTTTTACCACCTCGTATTTTCATGTTTTCATTCTTTTTTTTCTCACACTCAGTTTAGAGCAGTCTTATCCAGAAACTGACGTGTTGTCGTTTCGTAAGGCCTAATTTTTATGTCGGTGCGTTGATTATCTTTAATGCATCTTATTGTTTTCCTTCACATGTGTGTTCACCTCTCTTCCCTCCCTTCCCTCTTCTCATTTATCTCCCTTTTACCGTTCTCTCTCGATTCTCCCTCCCTTCTTCTCTCTCTTCTTCATTTCCCCTTCTTTATCCTCTCACTACCGTCGTTTTGCTGGTGCAAGTCGCGCTGGTGTGTTTTTGCTGGTGCCAGGCGCGCACCACGCTCAGCGTCATGCGCATTATCCGCGTCGGCAGCAGCAAAGAAGGGCACGAGCATGTCGGCAGAACTTGGTGAGTTCAAACTGTGAAAGGGAGTGAGAGGGTAGTCATGTGCGAAAATACTATGTGATAAAGAATACCGGAGAGGCACAGATTGAGAGGGAGAGTGTGCGCGTATGAGGAAGAGAGTGCGAGGAGAAGAGAGCATGAGGAGAGTTGAGAAGAATGTGAAGGAGAGTATGAGTGCAAAATTAGTAGATGAAATCGACATTCTAACCTCTGCTCCTTTCCTTACCGACTTTGTTTCAATGAGAGAGCAAGGAAGAGATAGAGTGATTCTTTTTGTTTCATATTAGATCCTTTCCCCCTTTTGCCTTTTGCATGATATACTTCGTTCTTCCGTGTATGTTACTTTCTCCTTATCTTCCTCTTAACATTCTGTTCAACGTTTTTCCCAGAGGGACCATTTCGAGGTAGCTTGCTAGGCGAATTAGGGTATGAGGTCAATTCGTCCTAGTTTGGTCTGTTTTCGTTTATTTTGCTTCAATTTCTTGTGCCTATGTTATCCGCTTTTGTCTTCAATTTCCGTTCTTGTTTCTGGTTATTCCTGCATCTCGTCATTTCATCACACCTCATTTCCTTTTCTGTTTTTTTTTTTTTGTACCGACTATTTCTTTCGTTCCTCCTTTCTACATTCTAAACCCGTTTCTCAGGAGTCTTGCTGCTCAGGAAGGGGATTTGAATCTGGAAAATGTGTATCGGTCACTTTCAGGATTTATCTTGTCATATTGTCCATTTAATGTTGATTTGCATGTTATTTATTATCGCGTGTTTTGGCTGGGTTTGCTGTTGTTTGTGCTTTTGATTGTGTGAATGTGTTTGATTGTGAGTGCATTCATCTCATTGATCATTGCAATATTAATGCATGTCTGTCAATTTTAAAAAAGGGGTTCATTTCTATCATTTCTCATTGGTTCATTGGCGCACTCAGTGACTCGTGTGTTTGCCACTTCGAACTGGATTTGATAGTGTGAACCTCTTTTTTAGAGTTAACAGATTGCATTTTTTCATGTGTTGGTTTATTATTCAAAGACTTTGCTATTGACTTCCCCCCCATGCTAGGCAGGGGATGCGGTAGCCTAGTTTTTGGGTCGTTAACTATCACGCATTTGTATGACATCCCGTATGTTGCATTTCAGCATTTCGCTTCATGGAAAAGCATTTTCATCCATGTATCAGTATTATGCATCTATATATCTTGTCGCATTACATTCATTTAAGCATGCGTGGTATGTACTTCATTACTCATATTCGTAACATTTTTTACATGCAATTATCACAACAACGGCAAGCAGTAAAACATAAAACGCAAACAGTATAGCATATAGGCAAAAACCTACTATAATAAAAAAAGAAATTAATATATGCACAATGGGAAGGGTGTTACTGTAGCTTACGAATTTTATTTTCATGTTAAACAGAAAACATGAAAAGAAAATTTGTCAAAATCGATTGTAAAGGGTTGCTTCGCAACCCAAAAAAATCACACGTTCGTACCGGCATTGAAACATTGAATACTCACTTACGTTCTGAAGTGTAAACTTTCGCCCACTTGTGAAAGCCACATCTTTCAAGCCTACCACATCTATTAAGCCTTTTTACTAGCACTCCACATGCCACACGAAAATTGTGAAATTAGACATCATCGTATACCAAGATGTGGGTGGTATGTGCGAGTCTTACTAGAGGTTGGCCTGATAAGAGGCCATAGGAACATGCCCTGAGATACAGTAATATCAGTGGAAGGAGATCGGTCTGTCAGAGGCTCGGACTTCGAAGGCTGTTTCCAAAGCAACCAGTGCCGAAGTTGGAGGCTCGAGCTCCAGCTCTGGTGATACCAGGGCAACAGGGCAACAGTAGGTACCTGTCAAATGTTGTAGCCTGTAGTGAGGTTTGTCTTAGGGGGTACAGAAGTTAGAGTTTGTCATATGTACCCCAACCAACATCAATGCAACATCCATTCCTCATTCTGACATGGTATCAGCTAGGTTAGGATCCTGTGGGATCCCGTTCCTCCGTTCTCCGTTCGTACCTCCCGAGCCTGATCCTACCTCTCGTTCGTACCAGTTTAGTTGTTACCGCGCCTAGTACCGAGCCTAGCATCATCTCCCCCGTCGCGTCGCGCCCGTTCCCCCCGTCGCGTCGCGCCCGTTCCCCCCGTCGCGTCGCGCCTGTTCCCCCCGTCGCGTCGCGCCCGCCTGTTCCCCCCCTGTCCTGTCGCGTCGCCCTGTCCCGTACCGTCGCCATGTCCCGTCGCGTCGCCCTGTCCCGTCCCGTCGCGTCGCCCTGTCCCGTCGCGTCGCCCTGTCCCGTCCCGTCGCGTCGCCCTGTCCCGTCCCGTCCCGTCGCCCTGTCCCGTCGCGTCGCCCTACCCCGTCGCGTCGCCCTGCCCTGTCCCGTCGCCCTGCTCCGTTGCGCCGCCCTGCCCCGTCGCGTCGCCCTGTCCCGTCGCGTCGCCCTCCCCGTCGCGTCGCTCCCGCCCTTTCCCCCGTCGCGTCGCCCTCCCTAGGCCCTAGCCCGTCGCCCTCCCTAGGCCCTGGCCCGTCGCCCTCCCTAGGCTCTGGCCCGTCGCCCTACCCTAGGCCCTGGCCCGTTGCCCTACCCTACGTTTTGGCCCGTCGCCCTAGCCCGCTCTTCCGCTGCGACTGAGTCCTCTTCCCCCCCGGTTGTTACTCGCCTGTTCGTTCGCGTTGGTTCTCACTATGGCGACTCCGCGAGTTCTTCGTTTCGACGCTGACGGTAGACCCCTTGACTTTTCCGTCTAACTTCTTCGCGCTCGTCGTCTGTTAGAGAGTCAGGTCCAGGGGGGCGAGACCCTCTGGTCACACGCTACTGGTGACCTCCCCGAGCCCCCCGAGCCTACCGCTTTAGGCCCTGCTCCTGACGACGCTGCTACGGCTCGCTTTGCCCGTCAGCGCGCTGACCGGACGGCTTGGACGTCGCGTGACGCTGCGGCCTGCATCGCACTCAGCAGCCTCCTCCTTGAGTCCGAGGAGGTCCACTTTACTCAGGTTCGCACCGCTGCTGCGTACCTCACTGCGATTAAGGCCCGCTACTCTACTCCCGCTACTGTCTCTCTTGGCCGTCTTTTCCTCCCGTTCCTGTTTCCTGATCTTGCCTCGTTTAAGCGCTCTGCTGACTTGATCGCTCACCTCCGCTCGCTCAACGCTAGTTACCGCGCTGCTTGCACTGAGGCACAGCTTGCACTGCTTCCTCCCCCCATGGCGATTACTGTCTATTTCATCGCCACTAGCCTCCCTGACCGCCTTGCCTCCGTTCGTGACGCGCTTCTGCTGAAGCACCCTAGTG